AAGTGATTCTCCTGCTTCAGCCTCCCAAATAGCTGGGATTACAGGTGCATGCCACCATGCCCAGCTAATTTTTGTATCTTAGTAGAGATGGGGTTTCCCCGTGTTAGCCAAACTAGTCTCAAACTCCTGACCTCAAGGGATCCACCTATTTTGACCTCACAAAGTGCTGGGATTACAGGCGAGAGCCACCACACCTGGCCAAGATGGGATTCCCTTATGTTGACCAGGTCGGGGGGCCCTAGTTTATTCGGCATGCAGTCACGTGGTCCTCAAAGTTACTCAGAAAATCTGAAAGGAAAAGAGACGTCAGAGAAGCATCAGGGGTGACCTCACCTGCAGCAAATCATTTCCAGTGTCTGCAGGGCTGAGGCTCTGAGCGGGTGCAGGACAGGGTCCCACACATTGCACATGGCCTCCCCACACTCACACTGCCTGGTGAGCATTTTCAGGAGGACCAACAGCCCCTTCAGGTCCCATCTGCCCTTGTTAATCATGCTGAAGGGTTCCCAGGAGGATCCTGAAGTCCTGGGTACCGGACTGTGCTGAAGTCACAGTGGTGGGGGTGTGGTCCCCAAAGCACCTGGGGGGGGGCCACTTGTGCTGCTGGGTTCCTGGCTGTCTGTCACCTGCAGCAAATCATTTCCAGTGTCTCTGCAGGGCTGAGGCTCTGAGCGGGTGCAAGACAGGGTCCCACACATTGCACATGGCCTCCCCACACTCACACTGCCTGGTGAGCATTTTCAGGAGGACCAACAGCCCATTCAGGTCCCATCTGCCCATGTTAATCATGCTGAAGGGTTCCCAGGAGGATCCTGAAGTCCTGGGTACCGGACTGTGCTGAAGTCACAGTGGTGGGGGTGTGGTCCCCAAAGCACCTGGGGGGGGGCCACTTGTGCTGCTGGGTTCCTGGCTGTCTAGTGTGGCATTGGTCTTTCTGCTGTGAATGGTTTCCCCTTTTTGATAACAGCAGCACAAAGCAGTACCCCTCAGAGGCCTGACGGAGGAATGAGCCTTCAGCCAGGCCCAGGTTGAAGGGGTGCTTTTGAAATAGGCAGGTGTCCTGGGTGTGAGGAGAGCGTTGATGGCAAGACCCAGCAGCCCCAAGGGATGGAGGGGGTGATGGGAATGGGGGCTTTCATAAGGCAGGTTCCAGCTTCCCAGGAACCCGGTGTTTCTGTGCCAGGCAGTGAATCTGTTGGTACAGACAACCATCAGCACCCATCAGGGAGCTTCCTCATGGGTCCCTAGGGAGCCTGAGGAAGGTCCAGAAGGCACCGCCCTCATGCATGGCTGGGGCTCAGTGTGCACAGCCTTGAACATGCAGTGACCCTGCCCACTACTGATGCTGGCCAGGGATGGTACTGGAGTTCCACCATTCAGATAAGATTCTCCTTCCCCAATAAAGAGCAGGACCAGGAAGCACGAAGCGGGCTGGGGAAAGGGTGGGAGTGTTGTGGGGCTGTGCTCCCCAGTGTGCTGCTGTCCTTAAAATCCACTTTGGGGGCGAGGCTCCCCCAGGTGTGAATACTGACTCTCCCTCCACTCAATGCCAGTTTGCAACCCCAGAGAGAAGGTCTCTGTGGGCCCCACTTGAGCTCCCTAAGAGCCCCTGTGAGTCCGTCCCTCTGCCAAGCTGCTGTGCCCCCTCTGGAAGTGGCACCACCAATACCATCACCTGAAGTGGAAAATTCTGGCTTACTCTTCAGCCTGTGACTATGACATCACCATTACTTTTGGCCTCACCCCCCACCCCCTTTGACCTTTACTAATAGGTTCTGGCCAACTAAGGATCATTGTCTGATTTGAGGTTGTTGTGGAAACCGGCTGGGGCAGCTTTGAGCTATTGAGAAGCGGCGTTTAGACTATACTTCAAATCTGATTCCCAGTCCAGCACTCCCACCCCCAGCGGCTCCCATTTATCTGTCCACTTGCCAAGAAAGGGCCCAGGGCAGCGTGCGGGGCTCAGGGAGGGAGAGCAAGGCTCGGGTACAAACTGGGATTCATAACTCATATTTACGCTGAATGTTAGGAGTTAAACTCAATGAAAGAGTCTTAGAAAACATATCCTAGTTTTCAAAGCAACATATATCCAAATGTTAAAATCTGTATGCATTGGCATACAGAATAACCATACTTTATTAAGAATTTTAGAAAGAAAGATATATGGAGGGCCAATGAAACCAGTTATTTAATTTATGCTCACATTTCATAAATTCACTGTGAGGTGTGAACTTTCTCAATGCACTGCCATGTATCAACAACTTTCAGAGTCAATCATGGGTAGCTGTATGGACCTCAGCTAGCAGTAGAGGAAAGCAAAATCCAAGACACAGATTTTAGTAAGGCCTAGAAAGTACCTGATCCAGCCGGGCACAGTAGTGGCTCAGACCTGTAATCCCAGAACTTTGGGAGGTCGAGGCTGGTGGATTGCTGAGCTCAGGAGGTTTAGACTATCCTGGCAACATGGCAAAACCCCGTCATGTTGCCACCATAGCTAGGTAAAATACAGAAATTAGCTGGCTGTGGTGGCACCCATCTGTAATCCCAGCTACTCAAAAGGCCAAGGTGGGAGGATGACTTCAGCCTGGGAGGCAGAGGTTGCAGTGAGCTGAGATGGCAGCACTGCACTCCAGCCTGGGTTACAGAGTGACACCCTGGAAAGAGAAGAAAGAAAAGGGAAGGGAAGGGAGGGAAGAAGAGGGGAGGGGAGCAGAGGGGAGGATGTGTTTGGTGATGGTTCCCAACTCTGTGAATGTTCTAAAATGTACTAAAAAATCCTGAACTGTATGCTTTAGGTGTGTGAATTGCATGGTATGTGAATGACCTCGACACAGATGTGATTAAAAACAACAGAAATCAGCTAGAGGTGCATGGTGGCTGCCCTTAGACTTGGCCAGTGTGTTTGCTTGCCAGAGTCTCCACCTCCCTGTTACTCCCTGACACTGCACCTTGGGGCCAGGTCCGTTTAGCACAGCACTTCCAGCTGTGTTCCTCACACCCTGCTGCCTCCCCTCACCGACTGTACACCTATCCTGCCCTAGAGGAAGTTAATTTAGTGACAGTCTATGTGAAGATAGTCAGTAGGTGCAAAAAGCCAAAGAAAGGTGCCCTGGGTGTGTTTCTGAATGGAGACTGTGGGACATGGTCACTGCAAAGGTGAACTCTGACTTTGGCCTTTCCTGGAACCAGGAAGTCATTTCCTGCTGCTGTGAGCTTTCGAGGGCTACCTCCATGAACCAGGCAAAGCCAAGAGCAAACCCAAGTATCAGGATGGCAGGAGACCCACAGTCAGGGCACCTCTAGCCCATCCACAGTGCTGCACCATCTGAGTCCCCACCACACACCAAGCGCCGGATCAACCCAGGCCTCGCTGGGTCCGGGGAAAGTCTCCAAAGCTGGCCTGACTGCAACACTCCTCAATCACCGGGAACCACCCCTTTTAACAGAGGAAAGCAGGTCTTGGGCTTACAGCAGCTCAAAGGCTACAGCACAACAATGGTTTAATGACATGCTGGGGTGGGTGTCACTGCCACTGTTGTATCAAACCAATGAGCTTTGGGCTGCCTTGGATTGATGACTTAGAGAGGGTCTGTTACACTTTCCGTAGTAAGAGCTCCCTTCTAAAGTAAGTTCTGTATTTGTGATTGCATCATAACCCATCATGCAGATATGCAGACGTGTCTGAGTGTTTGTTTGTTTTTACTCTTTTCATTCTATTCTTCCCTATATTTTTGAAAGAACAAAAACATTTTGATTATCCAAACACTCTGATTAGAAAAGAACGGCGAAAGTACAAATGATGACATAAAAATAATCAGCCAGCCTCCCTGTCAACATGGGGAAATAGAAAAAGTGAGACTAGAATAAGATAACGGAAAGCAGAACACTAAATTCTTCCATGCCACGAGCACAGATAAGTCAACACGTGCAAGAATAGGGAGAGGGTCAAGAAATCAACCTGGGGAAACAGAGAAAGGTGCAACCTCTTTACAAGCAATTTTCTTGATTGTTGTTAGAGTGCTGCTTATGTAATAATATTTTAATTTTAATGGAAAGATTGACAGAAAGGAAACCATTAGGTAACAGTGTGGGTAGTTTGTGGACATGGAATGAAAATCATAAAGGTAACCTGGGTGCGGAGGGTCACACCGGTAATGCCAGCACTTTGCGAGGCCAGGGCGGGTGGATCCCGTGAGCCCAGGAGTTCGAGACCAGCTGGGCAACATGGTGAGACCCCATCTCTACAAAAAAATACAAAAATTAGCCGGGTGTAGTGGTGTGCGCAGCCAGGTGGTGGTAGTCACAGCTACTCCGGAGGCTGAGTTGGGAGGATCACTTAAGCCCAGGAGGTCAAGGCTGCGTAAGCTATGATTCTGCCACTGCACTCCAGCCCAAGCAACAGAGTGAGACCCTGTCTCAAAAATAAAAAAAATCACAAAGGTAGCATGAAAATGACTAAAGTTGCAGAATAAATCAGAGACTCTAATAGCTTTGCTAGTTATACCTGATGACATTAAGTGACAGCTTTTAAAATACCAATCTATGAACATCGCAGTGGCCCAGAGGAAGAATGAAAATCACCCTGGGGACCAGTGACCCAAACTTACCATGGTGATGGCCCTGGTTTCCTGGTAGGCCATCTTGATGTCATCCACAGCACTGGTATTGAGGAAGAAGTCACCCGAGTCTTTCCTGAAGTGGAGCTCCACCGGCAGGAGGCAGATTCAGGGAGAGTTGGGCTGTGTTTTGGAGGGTGAGGGGGTCCCCTGGTGGGTCTTACCCAGGTAGCCGGCAGGGCATGGGCTGTATCTGGAAGCCAAGACAGTCCTAGATGGTCACCTCTTCCAGGCTCACCCTCACATCCTCTACCAGGATGAGCTCTGTGGAGACCAATGAAGGCACTGGAGGGTCATGCTGAAGGGCAAGGGCAAGGCCATGAGATGTAGGAGGCCACAGGACACCCACGGACCAATACCAGGTCATCCTGCAGGCTGCCCTTCAAAAAGAACAGGCCCAGAAGCCCCAGGGCCTGGCCTTGCTCCCAGCCACAAGCCCTGATAAGCCCCTGGTGCTCCTGAGCCCCATGGAATGGCCAAGGCCTATTTGAGGCCTCCCATCAGGCCCCCAAGGTGGAGTCAGTTACTGACTCCTGCACTCCAGACCCAGGAGTGCATTGGCAGCAGTCCCACTTAGGTGCCTCCCCACCCTACCAGGCCCCAGTGGTGGGTGACTCTCACACACACCCTGCCCTTCAAGACCTCACAGCAAAGGGCCGGCTTCAGAGCATGTGGCAGACACCACTCCAGGCAGGGACAGGAAGGCCACTCTCGGCCAGGCTAGGCAGTGTGGGTGGGTCCCCTGGAAGAGTGGCCAAGCCTGGCTCGCAAGAGAACAAGGACAGCCTTCATGCCCTAGGGCGGCACATGACCCACAGAGCTCTGCTTCCTGCCTCGTGTCACACAAGGGAGCCACCCAGATCCGAGGTCCCCAGGGAGTCGCGTGTTTGAGCACCTCCTCGGGTCCACAGTTGTGCCAGGCGCTCAGGGTGCAGCAGCTGCCCTCAGGGAGAAGCGACTCCAATGCACATATGGAAGAGCAGGAGCAGGCCAAGTGCGGTGGCTCTCACCTGGAATCCCAGCACTTTGGGAAGCCAAGGTGGGAGGATCACTTGAGCCCAGGGGTTCATGACCAGCCTGGCCAACATGGCAAAACACATCTCCACTAAAAATACAAAAAATGAGCTGGGTGTGGTGGTGCACGCCTGTAATCCCAGATACTCAGGAAGCTGAGGCAGGAGAATCACTTGAACCAAGGCGGCAGAGGTTGCAGTGAGCTGAGATCATGCCATTGTACTCTGGCCTGGGTGACAGAGTGAGACTCTGTCTCGGGAAAATAAAAAAAAAAAAAGGAAAAAAAGTGCAGAATCCTGGGGAGAACATGTCAGGGTGTTCAGGCTCCAGGCAGAAGGATATGACACCCCCCCATTGCTGACCAAGGGATTCCTAGTGCCAGTGAGGGCTGAGCCAACAGGGACAGGCACAGGTGTGCCCCTTCAGGGGCCATCTCCCTCCAGACCAGCCTCCTGAGTGCTGCCCTCATGGGCCTCAGTCTCTTCCAAATCTTGCTCCCCAGGAGGCAATAAAAACACCTCATCCTGGCATTTAGGAACCCTGGGAATCCAGCCCCACTTTCTCCTTCCAGCCTGTGCCTGCTGCCTCCACCTAAATGTAGAAGGACCTACATTTCCTGGTGGCCATGCCCTCTGTGGGGTGGCTGTCATCCATGCAGAGCTATTCCTGGGGAGCCCTTCCCTTCCACCCTCCAGTGCACCTACGGGGCCCCTACTATTAATAGCAGCACCTCCGCCTGGGGCAGAGTCAGGGTGTGAGGCCTGTGGCCCAGCGAGGGGCTCAGAACTATTCCACAGCCCCAGCACTGGAATACAGGCTCAGCCTCTGTCCTGGGACTTGAGTGCTCCCAACCTGGCCCCTGTTACTCATTCAGACTAGTGCATCCCTCCAGAGAGCCACCCTCAGTCATCCTGGGCCTTTGCAGAGGCTACCCTCCTGCCCTTGTCTCTACTCACTTAGGTGACCCCTCCTCACACCGCATGGCTCAGCACACTGGGCCTCTAGAAAGCCCCACTTCTTCCCTCACCAGCGCTGACCTGAGGCCCAGGCCACTCTTCTCTGGCCCCCACTTCACCTGGTGCTTCTCATGCTGAAGGAGCTTCATGGCTGGGGGGCCTTCCTGAAGAGGCTATGGGCTCATGGAGGGTAGGGTATGTCTGTTTCCTCTGTGTCCATTACATAATCTCAACCACATGAGGAAGGAAAAACCCTACAAGGAAAGGAAAATATTCTCTCCCTTCTCAATGGTTTAGATCAACCATTGAGAGATGAAAGAAAAGGAATTGAATATGTTGCATGTAGACATTAGGAGATCTTCAAAATCCAAAAGCTATTTCAGATTTTGAAATTACAAATGATTGAAAACCACCATGGCACGTTAAACCTATGCAACAAACCTGCACAATCTACACATGTACCCCAGAACTTAAGAGTGCAATAAATATAGAAAAAGAAACTACAAATGAAAATGCTGTTGAAGTGTTGTACCAGTTTAAATAGCGAGGAAACGAAATATCAATCTCTATAATCCATCTAGACAAAAGCACTTACTTTTTAAAAGAGGAAGATGTTTTGGGGACCAGAAGAGAGAAAACCTCTGTGAAAGATCCCCAGCCATGATTGGCCCCTGCTTTGCTCTGAGCTCATGAAAAGCCTTTGTGATGTCATAACAGACAGGCCTATATAAGGCCCTGGCTGGGTCATGGTTTTTGGCCTGATAAATCCCTGGAAGCTTTTTTGGTGACCTGTGGACTCAGACCAGCTTAGCGATTAGGAGTTGTTTGGGGGGGTGGGGGAGTTTTTGTGGGAGGGGCGTTGGGGGGAGTTTTTGTGGGAGGGGCGTTGGTGTTTTTTTTAGTTATCAGTGTTAGCATAGTTAATATAGTTAGTATTGCTTAGTATTTTAGTGTACTTTGGGGTAGTCAATAGTGTTGTTTAAGATTTTATCATAGTAGAGTTAGAGTAGTTACTTGTGTATAGTTAGTGTATAAAGGCACCATGAAGCAGGGATTGGCCTCCACCTCACCTGCCCTGCGGCCACCGCATTATCAAATATTGAATTTCATAGGCCGTGGTGCCTTTGGTGAGGTCACGCTGGCCCGCCACTTAATGACTGGCACGCAGGTGGCGGTGAAAACAATCAACAGAACTGGCTTCCTCTCTAGCCACAGAGAGATGACTGTTTTACAGTCGGTGAGCCACCGAAACATCATTAAACTTTATCAAATTATTAACAGCAGAGAGGCGTGCCAGTTAGTCCTAGAATATGCCGCAGGAGGAAGCCTATCCAACTGGATTGAACACCACGTAGTGGAGGAGGAGGAGGCCCGAGGCATGTTCCAACAAATGCTGTCCGCCGTGAGGTACCTCCACCGCCGAAGCATCGCTCACCGAGACTTGAAACCAGACAACATGCTGTTAGATGTTAAGGGAAACATCAAAATTGCTGATTTTGGATTGGCCACAAGTTACTATGAGGGGCAGAGGCTGACAATAGCTCATGGGACCCTGGCCTACATGGCCCCAGAACTCTTCGGGGCCCAGGGCTATGAATGCCCCGCCATGGACATATGGAGCCTAGGCGTCACGCTGTTCCAGATGGTGTCCAACAACCTGCCCTTCTCCGCAGTGAGTCGTACGCAACTGAAACGCCTAATTCTATCTGGCCAGTATGTTAGCCCGCAGTATTTTTCTGAAGGCCTTAAAAGACTAATTAAAAACCTTTTAACGCCTGATCCCAATGAGCGGCCGACAGCAGACAAAGTCATGGGGGACCCGTGGGTGAACGACGGCCAGGACTTGCCTCCAGTGACATACGAAGAGCCAATTGAAGACCACCCGAACTGTGAGACCATAAGCCTCTTGGTGGCCATGGGATTGAAGCCAGAAAACATCTCAAAGGCAATTGAAGACCACGTCTTTAATTATCCCATGGCCACCTACCGTATTTTAGATGGAGAAAAAAAGCCGTCCATTACCACTCCACAGTCTCTTGCTCCTGGGGACCCTACATGTTTAGTCACTGAGATTTCCAGTTCACCTGCCAGCCTTCACAGGAAGTCAGACCCCCAGCATGCCCCCACGGCCTCCCTGACCATCGAGCGCAATTGTGGAGATTTAGAAAACTTGGCACGGCAAGCCCTCCAGTGTGACCGTGTGGCCTCCTCCATTGTAAGCGCCATAGGCGGTGGTGGTGCTTTACAAACCTTGGCAGAGCAAGCCCCCCAGCGTGACCTCGTGTCTGCAGCCTCCACCAAGTGCTCCACCGGCAGTGAAAATTTAGAAACTTTGGCTCAACCAGCCCTCCCGCATAACCTCACGGCCGCCTCCACCCAGATCACCACCCAGAGCACCGTGGCTCAACAACCAGGACACGAAGGCAGCGTCCTCCAAGCTGGGCAGCCCGAGGCTGTGTTGGCCCGGCCAAGAAGAGGCTGGAGCTGCCGCAGGGCTGCCCGAAGGTGCATTGCCATAATAAGGAGATGGTGCTGCTGCCTGTGCCCATCCGAGAGGCAGAGGAAGAGGGTCCACCCAAGTGAAAAAGTAAGTAGGTGGGCGGTGAAGCCGCACTTCTTGCATTTTACTGTACTTATTCTGTCTTTATTAGTATTGTTTTAATTGGCAAATCATGCTTGTACATTCATGGGGTGCAGTGTGAGGGTGTAGAGTCAATAAGAATGTATTGCATTTTGCAAAACATGTTCATGTTAAATGTCTCTGCATTTAGATTGGAGAGGACGAAGGCCCTGAGGTCCAAGAACATTGAAACCTGAGATGCCCAGGAGCAACGTTGGAGCCTGCAGCACTTTATATAAAAAAATATAAAAATAAGGCCGGGCGCGGTGGCTCAAGCCTGTAATCCCAGCACTTTGGGAGGCCGAGGCGGGTGGATCACGAGGTCGAGAGATCGAGACCAACCTGGTCAACATGGTGAAACCCTGTCTCTACTAAAATACAAAAAAGTAGCTGGGCATGGTGGCGCGTGCCTGTAATCCTGGCTACTCAGGAGGCTGAGGCAGGAGAATTGCCTGAACCCAGGAGGCGGAGGTTGCGGTGAGCCGACCTCCAGCCTGGGTAACAAGAGTGAAACTCCGTCTCAAAAAAAAAAAAAAAAATACATATATATATATATATATATATATATAAATAAATGTATCATTCTGATAAATGACCATTTCTTGCTTCTTGCAAATTTTGCATTGGAAAGGTGGCACGTGGGTTGCAGACACTCTGCTGCTTTGTGCCCTCCCTGCACAGGACCGGGGCTAAGAGAAGGGCAAGGCATGAGGCAAAGGAAAAGGCAGATTTACTAGCACCTGCCTTAGTTGAAAGAAAAGCGGGGATAATGAAAGGATGGAGGAAGACATGGAAGAGAGCACGAAAAAGATATAGCTAAACCAGAGTCTAAAACCTAGCTCAGACTGGAGAACGGTCTATAAAGATCATGCGGTTTACCCCCGTGCAATACCTTGTGGTGGGATATGATACAAACTGGTAGGTCACTGTCTCACACTACTACTATTGTGGCTATAGGAGTATCAGGTAAAAATGAAGAAAAACAAACCAATCAAAATATGTCACTGGAAGGCAAGAGGTGTGGCACAAGTTCTTATATCTTCCCAGCTGCCCTGTTCCTTTGTTGGGGAGGAATCTGCTCCAAAAACTACAAGTACAAATTTCTTTTAAGCCTAAAGATAACAAGACTTTAGATTTTAAGTAACCAAAGACTATGGTATTAGCTAGGGATATTTCTTACACAAGAAATCTCCCTCGCTTCGGCCTACCTGCCACCATCCAGTTGGACAATGGTCCAGCATTTACTGCCCAAGTAGTCCAGCTTGTTGCCGAGTCCCTCAACATCTAGATACTACACATCCCTTACCATCCTCAGTCATCGGGTAAAGTTGAACAGGCCAACGGCATCCTCAAAGACCATTTGGCCAAACTTGCTATTGAGGTAAAACTCTCTTGGCCCACACTCCTACCTCTTGCCCTGGCCCATATCCGGGCCACCCCACGGGGGCCAACGGGCCTGAGCCCCTTCGAATTGCTGTACGGCCGGCCTTTCCTGGTTTCCCATAATCTCCCTGCACAACCGCCACCACTGGCCTCCTACCTTTCGTTTCTCTCTCTCCTGTGCCAACTACTCAGGGAGCATACCGACTGCACTCTCCCTGTGGTTCTGGGACCAGAGGACCCCCACCTGGTAGCACCTCTCCAGCCGGGTGACAGCATTCTCCTCCAAGAGCTCAAACCAGGATCCTTGCAACCCAGGAATCCTGGACTGAGGGCCCCACCACCAGGACCCATAATCTTGCACAGGCAAACTGCCAAACAGGCACCTGTCAGTCTACTGTCTCCATCCTCATCCCACATGGTAAAAGCACCATACTCGGTCGCAATCATGGGTTTCACTTTTGGCATGGGCTGTGTTTCCTATATGACCAAACCAAGGACTACTGTCATTGGTGGAACACCACCTAAGGAGGGTGCCCATAAAACTCTTGTTATTCACAAGCCACAGCCTCCAAGCCGTCCCAACCGCATGCTCGCTAACTTCAGCAATGGTTCCTTAGCCCTCAACATCTGTGACCCCGGCACAGCCATTAGGATACAGGAGTGTCTGGTAAAGTCTATGAAAATTATACCTGGAGCCACCCTCAGAGAACATGGCTAATATTTTGGTCCTATACCCGCATTGTCTCTGAAGCAATAGAACAGCTCAGTTCTGTAAGCCATACAATCCTGTAAAATGAAGCCATCCTAACTAACCAATTCAAACCCTCAGATAACACCTCTCAGTCTTTCTCTTGGTTGACTCTAGTACAGCAGGGAGCCAACATGTTAAATTTAACTAAAGCCATGAATATCACCAACTGCTTTTTATGTGCCGCTCTCAGCAACTCCCCCCTTAGCTCAGTTCCCCTCAGGTCCGGGTTTAATCTGTCACAATCACCTACGGGACCTGACACCATCTTAACGGATATCTCCTTGTTCCAAGTACACCCTCAAAATTTCTCTCTCTGCTATGAGACAGCCAGCAGCTCCAATCCCAGCTGTAACACCACAGTAAAGGTAAAATCCTCCCTCTACGCACTACCAAGAGGATATTTCTGGTGTAATGGAACCTTAACTAAAGTTATTAATGCCTCCTTCCCTTTCCCTTGTGTGCCTGTCACCTTGGTCCTGCAGTTAGAGGTCTATGGACAGGCCAAACTTCTATTCCTCCTTCCACCCTCCCCTAATCACCGAGACAGACGAGCAGTCTTCCTCCCAATGGTCGTTGGTCTCTCTCTAGCATCCTCTTTGGTGGTGGCCAGGCTGGGTAGCGGTGCCCTAGGCTACAGCGTCACCTCAGCCACTCAACTAGAGGACAAGCTTCGCGTGGCTATCAAAGCGTCGGACGTCTCCCTGGCCTCCCTCCAGGGACAAATCTTGTCACTGGCCCAGGTAACTCTCCAGAACCGAAGAGCCCTTGACCTGCTGACAGCAGAAGAGGGAGGGCCCTGTTTCTTAGGAGCAGTGCTGCTATGAAGAAAATGTCAGCACTCTCTGTCGCCTCCAAGAGGACCTCCACAAGAAGTAGAATGCATCAATCTGGCCTCTTAACTGGTGGCAATCTCCCATGCTAACCTGGCTAACCCCTATTATCACTCTCATCATCATAGTTTGTCTTCTGTTAATGCCAGACCCTTTTTTCCTCAGGTTTTTACAGGCCCGCATGAGAGAAATTTCCAAGGTGGCCGTAAACCAGATGCTAATTTACCCCTATGTCCGACTCCCAACCAAGGCACCAGCCAACTGACCCTTCTCCCTCACTCTGCCCGTACTCAGCAGGAAGTAGCCAGAAAGAAGCGGTGTCCTATATCATCAAAAGGGTCGGAATGTAAGGCCGGTTACCTCGCCGGGAGGCTGGACACACGCACCTCTGCACTCAGCACCTGAATCTGCACCCAGCACCTGACTCTGCACCCAGCACCAGGCTCTGCACTTGGCACCTAGCTCTGGTGCATGGCTCCCCTAGAAAGCTCTGGCTGAGGCAACCCTGGCCAGCTCTCACACTGGAAAACCTGCCTAATTACCCGCCAACCAATGGCGGCCCGCCCTGTTCCAATCCCGCTCCCGTGGAGCCAATCAGAGCACCCAGTTGTTGCTTCTTACTCATAGCCATAAAAACCCCATGCCCCAGGAAGTCATCGCGACTTCTCTGGCCCCCTTTACCCGGACCATAGAACCTCGCCTGGGAGCTAAATAAATTGGCATTTAATTTTCTTATACTGGCCTCAGTTTCCTCATTTTAAACTCAGCAATAACACTTACAACTTGAAGCCAGGAGTTCGAGATCAGACTGGACAACATGGCAAAATCCTATCTCTACTGAAAAATACAAAAAATTAGCTAGGTGTGGTGGCACAAGCCTGTAATCTAATCCCAGCTACTCAGGAGGCTAAGGTACGAAAATCACTTGAACCTGGGAGGTGGAAGTTGCAGTGAGCCAAGACCACACCACTGCATTCCACCCTGAGTGACAGAGTGAGACTGTCTCAAAACAAAAATAAAAAACAACCATGGTTAGGCCCTTACTCCAGAGAGTCTGTTCATTTGGTATGGGGATGAGGTCTAATCATTCATAATTTACAAATCTCCCTAGGTATTTGAAATGTGCATCCAGAGTTAAGAAATATTGGGAGAACGATCCAAGACGGCTGATCGCTAACATCTCGGGATTGCAGCTCCCAGTGAAAGCGCAGAGAACGAGAGGATGCCACACTTTCAAATTTTTGTCACTCACAGAGCAGAAGATTCCCAGTGGAGGAGCTGCACCGGTCGCCAGCACGGCTCTTGTGGCTGGCGCAGCGGTTTTGCCGGCACCTCAGTGCGGCAGCTCTTGGTGCAGAGCAAATGGGACTGGTTCCCCTTCTGACGTTTGGAGCTCTGGGAAGGCAGAGTTGCCTATTATGGACTCAAGAAGGAAGCCAGACTGGAGATTCCTGGGCAGAAAAGCACCATCAGTCTTAATGCCGCTGTTTTGGCTGGCGCAGTGGATTGCTTATATTTCGGCCCTGGGAATTAACAACTTGGACATCCACTCAGAGACCTAATTTGAAAGTTGGTAATTACAAAGATGACAGGTGGATAAATTTACAATGATGGGAAGAAACCAGCGTAAAAATGCTGAGAATACTCAAAATCAGAATGCTTCTCCCTCTAAAGAGGATCACAGTTCCTCATCAATAAGGGAACAAGGCTTGATGGAGAACAAGCGCATCCCATTAACAGAATCAGGCTTCAGAACATGGATAATAAGAAACTTCTGTGAGTTAAAAGAACATGTTGTAGCCCAATGTAAAGAAACTAAGAACTTTGAAAAAAGGTTTGACGAAATCCTAATGAGAATAGACAACTTAGAGAGGAATATAAGTGAATTAATGGAACTGAAGAATACAATATGAGAACTCTGACAAGTATTCAAGCAGAAGAAAGGATATCAGAGGTCGAAGTCCAACTTAATGAAATAAAACGAAAGACAAGATTAGAGAAAAAAGGATAAAAAAGAATGAATAGGCCGGGCGCGGTGGCTCAAGCCTGTAATCCCAGCACTTTGGGAGGCCGAGGCGGGTGGATCATGAGGTCAAGAGCTCGAGACCATCTTGGTCAACATGGTGAGACCCCCGTCTCTGCTAAAAATACAAAAAATTAGCTGGACATGGTGGCGTGTGCCTGTAATCCTAGCTACTTGGGAGGCTGAGGCAGGAGAATTGCCTGAACCCAGGAGGCGGAGGTTGCGGTGAGCCGAGATTGCACCATTGCACTCCAGCCTGGGTAACAAGAGCGAAACTCCGTCTCAAAAAAAAAAAAAAAACACAACAGAATGAACAAAGTCTCCAAGAAATGTGGGACTATGTGAAAAGACCAAATTTACGTTTGATAGGTGTAGCTGAATGAGACGGAGAGAATGAATCCAAGCTGGAAAATATTCTTCAGGATATTATTCAGGAAAATTTTCCTAACCTAGCAAAGCAAGACAATATTCAACCCCAGGTAATACAGAGAACACCACAAAGATATTCCTCAAGAAGAGCAGCCCCAAGGCACATAATCGTTAGATTCACCAGGGTTGAAACGAAGGAGAAAATACTAAGGGCAGCCAGAGAGAAAGGTCAGTTTACCCACAAAGGCAAGCCTATCAGACTTACAGCAGATCTCTCAGCAGAAACTCTACAAGCCAGAAGAGAGTGGGGGCCAATATTCAACATCCTCAAAGAACAGAACCTTCAGCCCAGAATTTCATATCCAGCCAAACTAAGCTTCACAACTGAAGGAAAAATAAAATCTTTTATGAACAAGCAAGTACTCAGAGATTTTATTACCACCAGGCCTGCTTTACAAGAGCTTCTAAAAGAAGCATTACACATAGAAAGAAACAACCAGTATTAGCCTTTCTAAAAATATACCAAAAAGTAAAGAGCATCAACATAAAGAAGAAATTACATCAACGAATAGATAGAATAGCCAGTTAACATCAAATGGCAGTAATCCTAAATTTAAATTGACTAAATCCCCCAATCAAAAGATACAGCCAAAACCCAATGGTATGCTACATCCAGACCCATTTCACATGCAAGAATATACAGACTCAAAACAAAGGGATGGAGAAAGATTTATCAACCAAATGGAGAGCAAAAATAAATAAATAAAATCAGGAGTTACAATTCTCGTATCTGATAAAACAGATTTTAAAGCAACAAAGATATAGTGGTAAAAGGATCAATGCAACAATAAGAGCTAACACCCAGATACATAGAGACTTAGACTCAATGAGACAGAAAATTAATAAGGATATCCAGGACTCGAACTCAGATCCGGAACAAGTAAACTTAATAAATATTTATAGAGCTCTCCACTTCAAATACACAAAATGTACATTCGTGTCAATACCACATCACACCTACTCATAGGTTTAAATGAAATAGTGATTGGACATTATTAATACCCATATTTTTAGAATAAGGCAACATTTCCGTTCTCTCTCCCTGTTTTTCTTCCTCTTTCTTCCTCTCCTTCACTCCTTTTTTTTTTCCTTCTCTAAAAAAAAAAAAAAAAAAAAAAAAAAAAGAAAAAGAAAAAGAAATCAACTTGTAGACCTCTAGATCCAGGTCGGCAATGTCTCTCACTGCCTGATTTCCTTCCTTCCCTTCTCTCCCTCCCTCCCTTCCTTCCTCCCTCACTCCCTTCCTCCTTTCCTCCATTCCTGCCTTCCTCCCTTCAAAAAAAAAAAAGAAAGAAAGAAAGAAATATTGACAAGGCCTAGAGCAATGTCCAAGTTCATTTGCTTCTTGTGGCTTTTGCCCTCTTTCCTTTACATGGTATGTTCTTCCTCTAGGTCTTCCCATGAATCCTTGTCATTCAGGACTCAGATTAAACGTTACTTCCTCAGGAAGACCTTCCCTGATCCCCACAACAAGCTAAAATAACACACCTACATTTATCTCACTGCCCGCTTGTTTTCATGACTGAATTATTAACAGCAGTTCCTGAGATTTCTCTATTTGTGCTTGTTGTCTGTTTCTTCCAACTGTCGGATATGCATCTTGAGTACAGGCACTTTGTCTTATTCACTGCTGTATGCCCAGCACTTAGAAGAGTGTCTGGCACCTATAGGTGTTCCAATATATGTGAATGAAAGAGAAAATGGTCTTTTAAAATACATTCTTTTAGTTCTTCTGACAGCTGTTTTCTTTTTCCTTTTTTCGAGACAGAGTCTCACTCGGTCGCACAGGCTGGAGTGCAGTGATGTGATATCGGCTCACTGTAACCTCCACCTCCCAGGATCAAGTGATTCTCCTACCTCAGACTCCCAAGTAGCTGGGATTATGGGTGTCAACCACCAAGCCCTAATTTTTCTATTTTTAGTAGAGACTGGGTTTTACCATGTTGCCCAGGCTGGTCTCCAACTCCTGACCTTGGGTGACCTGCTTGCCTCAGCCTCCCAAAGTGCTGGGATTACAGGCGTGAGCCACCGCGCCTGACCCTGACAGCTATTTTCAACTGGCTTTTAATAAAATGTGTTTTACTTATGCAATAGAATTGAACTATCAATGAAAAAAGCACAAATTGATTTTTTTTTTTTTTTTGGCAAATATATCTTAATTGCACTGGGTTCATTCCCTTCACAGGAATCTATATTAAACCTGCTGCAAAGCAAACAATTATCCCTTAAGGTATATATATATATATATATATATATATATATATATTTTTTTTTTTTTTTTTTAGACAGAGTCTTGCTTTGTTGCCAGGCGCCATGCTGGAGTGCAGTGGTGCGATCTCAGCTCACTGCAATCTCCGCCTCCCAGGTTCAAGCAATTCTCCTGCCTCAGCCTCCTAAGTAGCTGGAACTACAGGTGCATGCCACCATGCCCAGCTAATTTTTGTATTTTTAGTAGAGACGGGGTTGCACCATGTTGGTGATCTCTTGACCTTGTGATCCGCCAGCCTCGATCTCCCAAAGTGCTGAGATTACAGGCGTGAGCCACCGCGCCCATCTCCCTTCATGTATTTTTATATGGTATTTGTTCCTAATGTTGCTATAGTTCACATAGTAGGGCAGCTGGGTTTGGCCAGGATAACATTTATTAAATCAAGGGATTGCTGCTTAGAACGTTGGTGTTTGTTTTTGGAGAGAGAAGACAGAGAACGGTAATTTCTAGAAGAGTAGAAAGGTATTCAGGCAACAAAAGACTCAGAAGAAAACACGAAGGCTCTAATTCCTTCTGAAAGAGGGACACATTTACCCTCTCTTCTTCTGGGGGCACCTAACAAATGAATGTAATCTGGCGGAAGTAGGGAATTTTAATTTTAGGTGGAGACAGAATAGCTGAGATTACTAAAGTGTCTCGTTTCGCAGAGGTGTAAGCCAGCGCGGCAAAATCTCCAAGCTGTGGGTCACCTGTCGCTTGGTCTCAAGGAGGCAGCTGAGTCTAACTTACAACTCAGGCAGGTGATCTGAGGGCAGTGCAGCTGTCCTTAAGTCACCTGCGAGCCATTTCTGAAATGCATTACCTCCAAAAAGACAGAAGAGAACATTTGTTGCAAGGGAAAAATGAGATTTCGTGTCCTGACCCGTCTCTTCGGCAGGGACCTGAGTCCTTCCTCCGAGTCCCAAATGTCCAACCTTCTCGCCCGTTAACAGGGCTCGTTGCACGAGCAACCAGTTTTTCAGGCAGCGGCCTCCTCTTTCCTCCCTCGGCGTACTTCATCGATCACGGCTAGAAACAAAACGACTTTGTGTATGGAATAATGACTGAAATCTCACTGGCGCCTCAGCAGGAAGGACAACCAGCTTCGCGGCTTTGGAGAAGGCCAGCGCACCGCCATCTGACTGAGGCGACTAGCAAAACCGAGGTAGAGAGGCCAGAGGAGGGAAGGCGAGAAGCCTGAGTGGGCGGTGCATTCTGGGAGCTGTAGTCCCTGCGCGACAACGGCCCCTGCCTTCTGCACGAGGCGCTGCACTCCATCTCCCAGCCGCCCCCGCGCCATGGAGGAGATGAGGTCTCTGATGAGCTGCCGCAACGGGAGGGGACCTAGGGCCGAGAAATAGCTACAGTACCGTCTGGGAGACGCTGACAGCTGGCATCCCTAGAGGCTCAGGGACCCTTGGGTGGACAGCGACGAGGGGCCTTGAGGCCGCGGTGTGTGCCCAAGTTCACCTTCCGTTCTCCCCACAGGCGTGCAGAGTCCGCCATGGAAGCGCATCCGGCCGCCGCCAGGGTCTCCGGGAGCCGCGGCCTCGGCTTCCCAGGGCGATGAAAGACTAGAGGCGCCTGGCGTCCCGCCTGCCTCGGGCGCTCTGGCTAGCCAGGCGGTAAGGGGATCGGGCAGGCTGGCGGGCTGTCCCGCGGTGCCCGCCTTTGCGCCGCCCCGCCCCCTGGGGGCGCTGCCGAGAGGGCGCCAGCTGCCCATGCGGCCCCGGCGCCCAGCCGCGCCCGGCGCCCGCCACTGAAGCTCAGGACGCACCGCCGCCCGCGCCCACCGCCGTCCGCGCCCGTCGACTTGAGCCGACCGTCCTCCTGCCCCCAAGATGTGGCACAGCGTCGGGCTGACTCTGCTTGTGTTCGTGGCCACGCTGCTGATCGTCCTGCTGCTGATGGTGTGCGGTGAGTGGGGGCGGCAGCTGCGGGGCAGTCCACACCCCGGGTCGATCTGTTGGCATTGTCTTTTTAAAAAACAAAAGGGCGTGGACGGACAAGTGTCTTAAAATCAACTGTTGTCCCCTAGCCTCTCAGGGCTGAGCGCGGAGGTGGGCCCCTTACCCATGGCCGGCCCTCGGGCATCCTGGGGAGGGAAAGGACAGGATCCAGGGGTGAAACCCTGTCTTGCTTCACCGGCAACGTCTGCTCTTGATTTCATTGTCACCACAGGCTGCCCAGATTGTAACCTTGGCCTGCATTCGAAGGTGAAGTGATTGGTTAGTCTTTTTTCTTCTGCACAGATTCCGACCTTAATAATGAGGTGTCACCTTCCTTTCATCAGCTGGTGGGGTAGAGTTGGGTTTTCAGCACGTGTGAAAATGTTTACTTAAACTCAATTCCAAGAAGAGACGTCGAGACCAGGCAGAGCTTAAAAACACCGGCTATATTAAACTTCCAGGGTTGGGTAACATAACTCTCAGTTCTATAATAATGGTGCTGTTTTTGAATGCTGTGCGTGCTTTCCTTCTTGGAATGAGAAGACGTTCATTGATGTTAGGCCAATTGTAGAGCTTTTTGATTTATTTATACATAATAGCTGATAACCACAGGCTTCTTAGCAAAGTGGCTGAGAAATTGTGAAAATCTAAAAAGTATGTAGAACACATGTCATTGAGTTTATACATATTTTTAAGACTGAAGTATGGGTTGAGGTTGATGTAATAATGGGTCAGAATTCATACAGATACTATAGGGCATGTTTATTACATGATAAATGTACAAATTAATATGTAGTGACACTGTGCTTGGAGAAGATATGTATGCACTTGTGCATATGCATGTATATGTATTTATATACTTGTATGTTTATTTTATTTTTTGAGATGGAGTCTTGCTCTTGTCACCCAAGCTGGAGTGCAATGGCGCGATCTTGGCTCACTGCAACTTCCTGGGTTCAAGTGATTCTCCTGCTTCAGCCTCCTGAGTAGCTGGAATTAGAGGCGCCCACCACCACCACACCCTGATTTTTGTATTTTTACTAGAGATGAGGTTTCACCATGTTGGCCAGGCTGGTCTTGAACTCCTGGGTGGATCATGCGACCCACCCACCTTGGCCTCCCAGAGTGCTGGGATTACAGATGTGAGCAGTATGCCTGGCCTTGTGTGTATGTTTAAAATTGGTTGTGCTTCACTATAATACCAGATTAAAGCTTCTAATTTACCAGGCTTTCTTTTCTGATGAGATAAAGCAATTGAATAACCTTTCTCAATTTTCTGCTTGTGATGTCAACAAGCCGAAGAATATTAGAATATTAAACGAATTGTAGATGTTTAAGGTTCTTAAGTAAGGAAAACAAGTTCCTTCTGATACGTTTGGATGTGGGGAAGGAGGGAAAGCATATATTCCCCTTTCTAGTTTGAATAGGCAAACTACCTGGACATGGGGTTGGGACATGTAGACCCTACCATGCCTTGGCTAGGATATTTGCCAAACTTACCTTTGTGGCTTCAGAATTCCTAATTGCTCTCTCATCTCTAAATGGCTATTTGATGGTGAATTACATATTTTTCTAAAAGTGCTTTTAGTTTCAGAAACATTAAGGAATAAGAGAGATAGGGTGTTCTAGGACAGCAGTCTCTAACCTTTTTGGCACCAGGGACTGTTTCATGGAAAACAGTTTTTCCACAGATGGGGCAGGGTTGATTTTGGGATGGAATTATTCTGCCTCAGATCATCAGGCATTAGATTCTCATAAGGAGCAAGCAACCTAGATCCTCCTATGCACAGTTTACAATAGGGTCCGTGCTCCTGTGAGAATCTAATGTGCTGCTGATCTGACAGGAGGCAGAGCTCAGGTGGTAATGCTCAGCTCCTGCATGGACCAGGGACCTGTATGCTAGGGTGGGGGACCTGTGTGCTAGGACACCCTAGTTGGTTGGAGCGGTCAAGACTAACAGCTCCATGAAGAAGTAATCAATACTTTTTTTGTTGTTGGGAGAGCTAGTGATGGAGTAACCTCATCTTTTGTCTAGGATGGGGCTGGAACTTGGGGAGAGGAGGTAAGGATCAGACCAGACCTGAGAGAGAAACTGGGCTGCCCTGAGAAAATACCAGAGACGGGTGGGTGGCTTAAACAACATTTTTATTTTCCTTTTTTTTGAGATGGAGTTTCGCTCTTGTTGCTCAGGCTGGAGAGCAATGGTGCAATCTCAGCTCAGTGCAACCTCTACCTCCCAGGTTCAAGCAATTCTCCTGTCTGAACCTCTTGAGTAGCTGGACTTACAGGCATGTACCACCACACTCAGCTAATTTTGTATTTTAAGTAGAAACGGGGTTTCCTCATGTTGGTCAGGCTAGTCTCGAACTCACGGCCTCAAGTGATCTGCCCATCAGCCTCCCAAGGTGTTGGGATTAGAGGTGTGAGCCACCTTGCTGGGCTGAACACACTTTGTTTTTTGTTTTGTTTTTTTATAGCTCTGGAAGCTAGATGTCAGAGATCAGCAGGGTTGGTTTTTCTCCTGAGGCTTCTCTCTTTGGCTTGTAGATGGCGGTCTTCTCCTTGTGTAGTCACGTCGTCTCTCCTCTGTGTGTTTTTATCCCTTTTTAAGGACATCAGTCTCTGGATTATGGCCCCTCACCCTTTTGACGTTAACCTTAATTATCTCTTTAAAAAGCCGAGTGAGCCAGTTCACGCCTGTAATCCATGCACTTTGGAAGGCCAGGGCAGGCAGATCACTGAGGTCAGGAGTTCGAGACCAGCCTGGCCAACATGGCAAATCCCTATCTTTACTTAAAAAAAGAAAACCCCAAAAATTAGCTGGGCATGGTGGCACATGCCTGTAATCCCAGCTGCTTGGGAGGCTGAGGCAGGAGAACTGCTTGAACCCGGGAGGCAGAGGTTGCAGTGAGCCGAGATCACGCCATTGTAGTCCAGCCTGGGTGACAAGAGTGAAGCTCCGTCTCAAAAACAAAAAACTTTATCTCCAAATACAGTACAGTCACATTGGGGGTTAGGATTTCAACATATGAATTTGGAGGGCACACAATTCAGTCTATAACAAGCACCATGTCTTTAGCGCTGGCTGAAAGATAGAGAGTAGCTGTGTGCCCATAAAACAATTGTTTTTATCCTTCTAGTGATCACAAGCCCTTTTAAGGGTCTGGTAAATGCTGTGAACCTTTCTTTTTTCTTCCTTTTTTTTTTTTTAAAGAAAAATTCACCCATATAACTTACCTGTCGTCCCCACCCCCCCGCCCTGCTCCCTGCTGCCATTTCAGAGATTTCATGAACTCCTTTTCTTTGAATCCAAACATAATGTTTAGATTAAGAGGCTCTGCTTTTTGGGCTGGGTCTCCTGTTTTCTTATTTCATTCAGTTCTAAAGACTGAATATTGAGTGCCTATCAGGAACTGAGAACACAAAATCCATAGCAGAGATTGGTCCCAAGGAGTTCATATAATTTTCTTTAGAGGTCTGACAGGCTCCTTTACCTAGTGAATTCAGACGTTCAAAGTTCTGGTTCCTAGGGGAGGTTTCCCTTCTGTCTATATTGGTTGTCTCTGCTTTCTCACCTAGTTCATTCCAAAGTGTTTTCTACCCCCGCCCCCACTATTCAGTGACACTGCCCTTATTAAAGGCAGGCACAGCTGTCATTCTCCTGTAGAAAGCTGTACTTTCCCTGTTATCCTGTTCTGTACCCTATTTTCTGGATCTCATGTTATTATCTTTTTCAGTTTCCGTTGTTTTTTTGTTGGAACACATTTTCTAGTAGCTTTCTAGGAAAGAATGCATGAGCTAATATATGTCTGAAAGTGTCTATTTATATTCTACCTTTATACTTGATTGATAATTTGCATAGATTTGGGGTTGCAAATGATTTTCATCCAAAATTTAAAAATGATTACTCCATTGATTTCTTGCTTCCAGGAATGGTTTTGAAAAATCTAATGCCTTTTATTTCCTTGTCATTATATGTGACTGGGTTTCTTTTTCTAGATGCTTTTTGGATAGCCTTTTTGTCATTGGTATACTGAAATGTCATAATGATGTATCTTTGTATGTGTCTCTTTCATTTTTCTAGGTCTCTTCAATTCAGATTTTTTTCCTCATTTCTGGGGAAATTTTCTCCTAGATTTGTGATCATTTTCTCCTCTCCATTTTCTTGTTTTTTGTTGTTGTTGTTGTTGTTTTTCTCTCTAAAAGTTCTGGTAGTTGTATGTTGGATCTCTTGGGTTGATTCTTTAATTTATCTTTTTATCTCCTAATTCCCTCCTCCCCCTTTCTTCCGGGGGGTGTTTGGGGCTTTTTCTTCTGTCTCTTAAATTGAATTTTTAATATTAGCTATCAGATTTTTATTTTCAGAGCTTGTTGTTTTATGATTAGCGTTGGACTTGGCTGATCTGTGACTGTGTGATCAAGTCACACAGCTAGTGTTGCCACCTACTAAAGCTGTGTGACTTGAGCAATGCACTCAACCTCTTATTTCAGCAGGTAGATAATTCACAAATAATTCAGGAATACTGAGGTTTGGCTGTGCTTTTTCTTATCTATCTTACACCAAGTCACTGTAACTGTAATAGGACTGTTACTCACAATACCAGGTTGTGGCAAAGAGGTTTTATGGAAGGGGTTCCAAATGAGGAGATGGAAGGAAACCCCAAATTCGTCATGGAGGAGTTTGGGGCTAGGGTTTAAGGGTTTTGTATGAGCTGATTGATTGGTCAAAGAGTGCAGGGGTGAAGCCATGGGATAGGGAGATGAAGAAACTATTCTCATGCTGATTTGATTCCTCTGTAGGGGGTCTTTAAACTGGTCTTAAACTGGTGACAGCTATTTCACTGTATTTCTAGAATCTGAAAAACATTGTAAGCAATTCTTAAAAGCCTTATGGATTCTAACTCAAAAATCCTATTTTTAGGAACAGTGGAGATGCAAATGTACAGTGTCTAGTGTATTGTGACTTTT